TAGTTGCTGTCGATGTTGATTGAAGGAATGTTGTGTTTTCTTTACAGATCTGGTATACATTTGTAGAGGAATTGATTTTTTGAATCAGATCTATTGGGCATTATTATTGTGCGAGGAACCAGATTTGTGATCGGAGCAATAAAGGATGACCGGAGTAATGAGGGATGATCGGAGTAACGAGGGGTTGCACGATGGGGTATTTAAGGAATTTTAAATTTTTTAATATATAAATTAATTAAAATGACGTGGATTAAGTTATTTTCCACGTAATTAAAGATTTGAAACAAAAATTGATTTCGTGGCAACTTAACGTGCCATCTGGCACTTTCGTCGACGGAAGGACGAAATTGGTCCCAAAAATTGAAGTTCAAGGATTTTTTTAGTACTTTTTGAAGTTAAAGGGTAGTTTTAGTTCAAAAATGAAAGTTGAGGGACTGAATCGGGGATATAACCAATTAGTTTGTGAAAACTTCGATTTGGTCTTGGTTCTCAAAATCGAAGAAAAAAGTTTTTTGGTTATTTTAAAATCAATTTCAATTTAACCGAAACCGATTTTTGCCCACCCCTACATGAGGCCGTCCCCAAATGGCAATTAACGACAATTAACAGCAGTTAAGTTGTCATGATAGTAAGGGCTTAATTGCTTCTATTGTAGAGTTTAGGAGCTTATATGCGTCAATTAAAGTTTGAGGGCTTAATAGCAATTATAGGGTTAGTTCAAGGGCTTAACTTATGGTTTTGCCATAAAGATACGTAGAGACAAATTCTATCCATCCGAATCTAGCTCTTTGATGACATTCCATAGGGTTGGAACTCAATCTTCTTTCTATGAAACCAACAAAAAGAGAGTAGAGTTAGTAACCAACAAATATGGTGTAAAGAGAGGGATCTACTCAAAAATAGCATTATAAAAATTAAGGAATCAATTATAGAGTGCAAAGAAAAAAATGTTAAATGTTAATTTTAATCTTTTAATTTTAGAGTTTTATATATTTTTTGTAACTCATATTTTTATATATGTTTGTCTTTTAATTATAAAAAATATATTTTTTAATTTTTTCATTAATTAATTTATTAACTTAATTCACATATTTATATTTTTAATCTTTACATTTTTAAGTTATAAGATAAAAATATATATTATAAATTAAAATTAAAATTTTTTGTCTTATAGTATAAATTATAATTATAATTTTTTTTCAATTAAAAAATATGATTTGAAATTATAATTTTTAAACCTCAAACTTCTGAGAGTTAAATGTTAATACTAAGTCGAGTGATGGTTATGTCAGTATTAATTGGCATCAAGAAAATCAGGCCATGACCCTGACACCTCGCCCAATCTTCATTAAAGTCTTTAGTATTATTATTTTTTTTTTTTGAAAATAGGTAATGACATTAAAGTCTTTAGTAGATATTTTTTCCTTGCGAAAAGAAATCACGAGGGCATGACCATTGTCCATTTGCTGCTTCCGCGTCATTGCTTACGTTTTTGTTTTGGGTATAATGTTAAATGAGATTTGCCGGATTGGTACACAGGGTTCCACTGCAAGAACAATAATGCACCTTTTCTATGAAACATTTCTTTCAAAATGTACGTTGATTTTTTTTTTCTTTTTTAATCTTAAGGAATTTTTGAGATGAAAGAAAATGAGTAGTATTTAAGTATAAAACCTAAAATTTCAAGTACTAACAGCTCTGCATCAGCCATTGAGCTACTTTGTTTTGGGTAAAATATTTTAATTAGATAATTAATAAAATAAAAATTAATTTTATTTTTATATAAATTAATAGTAAAAGATGTAATAAATATATTTTAAAAAAAATTTATTTAAAAATATAAAATTT